GTTCTGAATGCAGTCTTCTCGATATACTGCTCTTTCAGCTTTAGCTGATGATATCCTGACCTTAGGTCGATCTTTGAAAAAGAAACTTGAACCTTGTAGTTGATCGAACATGTCATCAATCCTAGGCAACGGATATCTATTCTTTATTGTTGCCTTGTTCAGCTCTCTGTAATCGATGCACATTCTCATACTTCCATGTTTCTTCTTTACGAATAACACCAGAGCTCCCCAGGGTAATGAACTAGGTCTTATGAAACCTTTGTCCAATAACTCCTGAATTTGCATCATCAGCTCCTTCATCTCCATCGGTGCTAGTCGGTAAGGTGCTTTCACTATTGGCATCGTTCCGGGTAACAAGTCGATATGGAATTCTACTTGCCGATCAGACGGTAATCCAGGAAGATCTTCGGGAAACACTTCCGCATAATCACACACCATTGGAATGCTCTGCATCTCCTTTTTCTCCTTCTTTGCATCAATCACAAATGCCAAATATGATGTACATCCTTTGGCCAAACACTTTCTAGCTTTCATTTGAGAAATGATCCCCGAACTTACTCTGCGTTTGTCCCCATACACCATAAATAACTCTTTCCCTGGCAGCTTTATCTTAACTATCTTCTTTCTGCACAATATCTCGGCATCATTGGCGCTAAGCCAATCCATTCCCAACACGATGTCGAAACCGTTTAGTTTGATAGGCAATAATTCCTCGTGAAACTTATTCCCATTCAAGTCAATTAAGATGTTTTTCATACGATGGCTAACAGGTACAAACTTTCCACTAGCAACTTCGACTAATAAAGCATCATCTAGTCTATCAACAGGCAAAGCTAGTTTTCTACCAAATTCATACGAAATAAAGGAGTCGTTGGATCCATAATCAAATAAAATTTGGGCAGAGAATTTGATTAGGAGAAAGGTACCTGAAGCGACATCAGCTTCTTCTTTGGCAGCTTCCAGTGTCATCTGGAATGCTCTCGCCTTCGGTTTTGGCGGGATGTTGGGTTTTGCTGCCTCTTTCTTCGGACAATCCCTCGAGATGTGCCCCTCCTCACCGCAACCATAAAAAACTTTCTTGGTGAGGGTGCATTCGTTGGCATATTGCCCTGGATTTCTACATTTGAAGCATGTGGCTTCCCTGCCACACTTCTCATGATGCTTCTTCTTTCATTTGTTGCACCATTTCGCTTTGCCTCCTCCACCTCCTCTCGAACTAGACTTCGAGAATTTACCCTTTTTGCTGGACCCCGAGGGTCCATCGATTTTCCTCTTTTCACCAACCTCTGACCTCTCTATACCTTTCTCCCTGATCTGGGTCTCAATATTTCTAGCAGCCAAGATGGAAACTTTCAATGTGGTTGCTTGCTTAACCACTGGACCATAGTCCGCTGGTAGTCCGAGGGAAAACTTGTTGACCTTAGAAAGTTCTGTTGGTACCAAATATGGGATAAACTTCATATTTTCTGTGAAACTAGCAGCATATTCAGTAATGCTCTATTTCCCCTTCTTCAAACTCTGAAACTCATCACTGATTTCCAGAAGGTCCTGCTCGGAGTAGTGTTGTAGTTTCAGTTGTTCCACAGAGTCTTCCCAAGACATTTTGCTTGCTTCTCCCTTGGGCATAGAGTCAGCTAGCAGCTTCCACCAACTCAACACGCCAAATTTTAACAGAGGGATCACAAGAGCGGTCTTTTTCCTGTTGCTGCATTCGCAACTTTCAAACATTGTCTACATCTCAAAGATCTAGTCCATAACTGCACCGGCGTCGGGCTTCCGGATATACATGGTGGTTTGGATCCATGATATCCTTATACTTACACCCACGCCCATCATTTCCTCCATACTGATTGTTGTGTCTAACCATTGGTGGGTCGTCTTGACCAATGATCCCACTAAAGTTTCCTCCTTGAGACTGCCCTCCATTCTCCTCGGGCTCTTCCGCTTGAATTAATGGTTCTTCACGATTCTGCCTCAGCAGATGCCTTGTTTCTTCCATTTGGCGATCCAACATAGTTTGAATTTAAAGTTGTACCCCAACCATTGTTATTGGCTCAGGTGCTGCTGCTACTATAGGTATTCACTCATTTGCTGGTGGTTGATTCTTGTTTTCATTTGCGTTTCCAACTCCGCTTCTTGTTATCACCATTTTTTTTATCTGTACACCGAATAAGGTGAAATTAGATCCTCTTTCATGAAAAGATTTCAATTCATTCTTATTATTCCAAATGATTACATGTTAGTTCTAATATCGTATACATACGCTTAGAATCCTAAACACATAAACCTTCAGATCCGGTTGGCAACAAACCGTAGATTCGAACAAATAATATCAAATATGGCAACATATAACCTTTAGCAGATAAAATCATTTTAGGCAGCTTCCTAAAATATGCTAGTGCTTGTGTCCATAATATCACAGACACTCGTCTCACATTCTTCACTTAGCATTTTAAGTTTAAGTCTAGAAATCCTACAAATTCCTATTTCGTTTAAACTAATGTTATGATACCAACTGTGACATCCCCAAAATCTCGGCCAGAAAAGACCGGTTTCATTTATGCTTTTTAAACATTTTCAGAGTAAATCCTTTTGATTTTAAAAGAGATGCGGAATTTGTTCCCAAAAACAAAACATGATAAAATAGATTTTTATCAAAACATTTCATAAAGAAATATAATTTCATTTCATAATAAAAATCGGGATGTCATGTTTTGATACAGACCATAAAGCATAAACGATAACATTACAAGTCATTCAACAAATATATACATATACAGACTTGTAAACAAAACAACTTGATGATTCATCCATCTTATGCCCTTGCGCTACTTCCTGTAATACAAATAAACTGAATGGGTTAGGCTTGGGGGCCTGGTGAGCATATAGGGTTTTCAACCCACAATAAATAATTATATTTAATTCAACAATCAACAATAACCCGATTACCCATTACCGTTATCCTCACTTTACGTCCCTAAAATAACATATATCTCAAGGGATCTAATCTAGGATTTTCATCGGGACGGACATTACTGCAGAGGGTCTTCCTCTAGAATAAGTGTCCTAAAGGCAACCATGTGGGGGATAAAGTACATCGGTGAACACATCGTTCACAACACCTACAGGTTATGAGCCTGCTAGCGTTCCACAGGACTGTCTAGAATAGTCGTGGTCATCATCCATACTCTGCTGAATGACTAGAATAACACCAACGACGAGGCCTCTCATCAATTTATTTCATTGCGTACCGACTATCTACACATGTTCTACCCAACATATTAGTAGATAAAATATACATGTTTTATACATAATTTTTGAAAAAAATTGTATAGCATGCTCTTTCAATACTCCATCCAAATAGCAAGTAATACGTAAACACATAACAAGAAATTTCAAGGAGAGTCATATAAGTCTATGAGTTAGAAATTAATAATAATACCCTCACACAACCCGTATTCTTAAATTCACTCAACGATTACTTGTATAATATTGTGTATTGAAAGGGACTATACACTCACCTTGATCAAAAGATGATCGGGCAGCACTACGGCTTGCAGAAGTAGTGTTCCTTCGTAGATCTGGAAGATCTTTACAAAAACCGGGCTCCTCGCGGGCAGAGCTTCGGCTCGGGAATCTCAATTCTCGGGATCCTCGAGGATCTCGGGAATGCAAAGCCTTCCTTCGGAATTTGAATGTGAAAACCGGGGCTTCGGGATGGCTTTGGGAGTTTAAACGCAGAGCTTCGGCGCGAGAAAGAAGAGAACTGATCAATGAAACCCGGAGCCCTTGAGATATATTTATAGGGATATATTTTGTGTTCCACGTCGTGGAAAAGGGTGTGCCACATCGTGGTGAGTCATCTTATCCTCTTCCATTAATTTGACGCCCTCATTCACTTGCCGGGTCGAGGCCAACTGTGCCACGTCACGACCAACCTGACAGCCTCGGATTTTGGGGTCTCGAACTTGTAAAATCCATAAGTTTCGCGTACGACCTCCGTTTTCGATGTTCTTTTATGCTCGTGTAGGTGAGAATATACTCTACAACTCTCGTTTAGACTTCATCAGCTAATTTTGACTTTATTTTTAATTATTTATTTTTAGTAGGCCGGGATAGAAAAACTTCGTTAGAAATTCATAACTTCTTCGTCCGACGTCCGTTTTTGTCCCACTTTCTGTCGTTGCACTACCATCGACGATATCTTTGATTCTCGTTTAGAAAGTTTCGGCTAAAACTCGCTCGATCTCAATTCGAACTTTTGGGCTGTCTACTGCTAAGCTGAAACTTCAAAAAAATCATAACTTCCTCATATGAAGTCGGATATAGGAGTTCTTTTTATGCACGCTCTCGGTTCAACATTATCTACGTCTTTCGTGTTAATCACTAAGGCTAAATATCACTCCTTCGTAAATTCACAATTTATGTCACGCTGTGCCACACCGGTTTTGTCGCGAAACTTCGACAAATCATAACTTCCTCGTTATAACTCGGATTTCAACATTCTTTATATTTTTGGACACCTCGTATCAACCACTACATCTTCGTGCATCAATATCGGGTTTATGACATGTCATTTTTACGCTTATTTTTATTCTTGATTAAATCAAATCACATAATTAACCAGATAAGTATAAAACACATAATTTGCAAATAATATGTTCTTATTATTTCAAATGGGTTACAAAGGTTAACCTAGACTATTACATTGCTAAAAATGGCAAGCCCAGAAACACGGGCGTTACACTACCGATATCTGGACATCTAATCATCAAAAAAAGGGTTTATGGCAATCACATCACATTTTGTAGATCAAAACTGTAACTTGCAAAGCAGAATTATGAGGTATATTATAATTATTTAACTACAATTTATACATACTTATTATTTATGTGTTAATATTAACACACACACACACACACACACACATATATATATATATATATATATATATATATATATATATATATATATATATATTCTTAAACAGGTTTATTTACATGCCTTGTCCGCATACATCCGATGTTTTTGCCGACATACTTTATGTTACTTTGTGTGATTGGAATCTTGATAGGAAAGTGTCAACTCTTACTGTGGATAATTGTACCCCAAATGATGCAATTATCAGGATATTATTAGAGAAACTTCCTCTAAAATCACTAATGATGAATGGTGATTTGTTTCATATGCGTTTCTGTGCACATATTCTCAATCTTATTGTCCAAGATGGCTTATATCTAATTGAAATTGAGATTGAGAGAATCAGAGAGAGTGTTGCATTTTGGTCTGCATCTCCAAAGAGGGAGCAAAATTTTGTGATAGTAGCAGAACAGTTGAGAATACCATACTCGAAGAAGTTGATACTTAACTCCAAGACATGGTGGAACTTTACATTCTTGATGTTGAGTGTTGCTATAAGCTACAAAGAAGTTTTCGAGCGAGTAAAGACAAGAGACCCGAAGTATACATGTTTTCCTACAGAACAGGATTGGGAGTTGGCTAGTGAGATTTGTGAAAGATTACAGCTTTTTTATGAGGTGACTGTTATGTTCTCTGGTTCAAAGTATCCTACAGCTAATGTTTTTTTTTTCCATTGATATGTGAGATTGGGTATTCTTTGCGTGAGTGGACGAAATCTCCTATTGAGGAGATTAGGGATATGACTGACCAATTGGTTTCTAAGTTCAATAAGTATTGGTCTATAATTCATGGAATAATGGGAATGACAACGGTTTTAGATCCACGATACAAGTTAAAGTTTGTGGAGTTACTTTTGTCTGTGCTTTATGGAGAAGAAAAGGCAAAGATTGAATTTCAACATTTGGAGTCGTTTGTCCAAACTTTGTTTCAAGAGTAAGAGTCAAGTAATGCATCTAAAAAAGGAAGAGTGATGGTATTATATTCTTCTTATTGTTTGTATAATAAATAGAACATTATCTTCAATTATTAACATTTTTATACTAAACATTAGGTGTTTATGGTGGTTCAGTTCCCGGTTCATCTTCATTTGGTTCTAGTATCTCTTCCGGTCATCGTGCTGGATTCAAAAAGCTCTTATCGGATATTGTTTCCATTACTAGAGATGATGATGAATTAGGAGGTATGAGTGAGTTGGATAACTACTTGAAGGAGAAATTGTTGCCTAAAGACATGGAACTTGATTTGTTGGCGTGGTGGAAAATAAATGGGATTAAGTACCCGACACTACAAAGGATAGCTAAAGATATATTACCTATTCCTGTTTCCACTGTTGCCTCGGAATCAACTTTCAGCACTAGTGGAAGATTAGTAAGTCCTCATCGTAGTCGACTTCATCCAAAGACATTGGAGGCTTTAATGTGTGGTCAAAGTTGGTTGTTGAATGAAATTCGAGGTAGTATACTATTTTATATTAATTATATGAAATTTTGAATCTTTTTTGGATATTAATAATATTAATTTTATACATCAACTTGTTCTGAAGAGACCGAGGCATATTGTCGTTCAGTTGAATTTGATTATGATGTGGAAGTGGTAAAACGACACTTCTAAAAATATTAATTTTATACAGTTTCCATGATTTGGTTTGATTTTGAGTTTGTTTAATATTTTGTAAGAAAACACTAAATAAAGTAGGACAACAAGTTTGGATGAGCTTGTTTGATTTTGAGTTTGTTTTAATGCTAAGTGGTAATGTATTATTGTGATGAATTAGTTTTTCATGTTGTTTACTTGGGTGTTTTGGTTGGTTGGTTGGTTGTTGCAATATTAGACTACTAGTAATTTCTATTTGGTTAAATGATTTAAGAAATTATTTGGTATTTTAAGCCTATGCAACTTCTTAATTTATCATTCTGTATTTATAGTTTTTCCTTATTTTTTTTCTGCCATATTTTGGGTTTTAGGGTCGGGTTTTTGGGTAATTATCGAGTTTCGGGTTTAGGGTCGGGTTCGGGGAAGTTTTCAGCCCCGATAAGAAACCTGTCGGGTATTGGTTCGGGTTCAGGTACACATTTAGAAATCGGGTTCAGGTTTGGGAAGCCATGCCCCGCCCTGAACCTGCCCCGTTGCCATTCCTAGTTTAGGTTAAATTTGTAAAGCTAGGTCTAGTAAAAAACATGTTTTGGTTAGATACTTTGGCAAATGATAGATATTAGAGTGTGTTAATATCTTTCAGTACCAACTTAGAATAACAATCATGAATTACATCAAATCATAATCAAGTTGACCAACATTAAGAATTAGAACTAGAACCATTCAATCAAATTGTTTATGAGTTTATTTCATTTTCTACATGTTTTTAAAGTAGATTGTTATTTTATTATTTTACTTTTGAAAACAAAACCCCTTTTTTGATCAAATTACCTTGCACAAAGAGGTATAGACTTTTATCCCGTGTCTTTGTGGTTCGACCCTGCTCGCTTTGTGCTACTTTTAGTGCATTAAAGTAGTGTATCTAGAGTCTGTTGTACCCCTATTATTTGTTAGGTTTGACATAGCTAACAATGCCCATAATTTCTCTTTAAAATCCCTATTAGTGTGCCAGTTAACCACACATGCTCCATTAAAGACATATTAAAGTATGATCTTCCTTTTCATGGATTAGCATACTTTTCACATTTTTCCTAAAGTAACTAGAGTGATATTTTTAAATAGTTTTGTTACTTCATATCATTATATTTTTAATTAGATTGTGTCCTATCAAACATGTTCGGATAACGACCCTCCACCGCACAGGAGAGCGGTGGGTGAGAGTGGACACTCATTTGTCACACCCCAAAACCTGAACGACGGAATCGTTCGGGGGTGGAGGACATCATGTACAGTATCACAACAATGAATAGTAGTAAACAAGCAACAACATCATCCATTGCATTAATAATATAATTTCATACATGTGTGTTCTGTCAAAGTTATAGACACCAAAAATATACATATCAAAATAAAAGATGAGTCTTGAACGAACTCCATCTTCTCAAAAGCCCGACACCTGTACCTGTATAGTGGTGACCTGAGAATACAAGTTATTTTGAAAGCGAGTATCAACTTAATGCTGGTGAGATCATAAGTATATTAGTGTATGTGTTTGTATGAAAGCATTTGTAAGATGTTTGTAAGATGTAATGAATAAGTTTTGTAAAGTTTGTAATTGTTTGAACTATCCTAGAAAACCTTATGTTTCCTACTAAAAGTAGCCTTCTACCAAGACATCTAGTAACTGTGTGTGTTTCTTGTAAGAGTGTGTATTTTCCCAAATCCGACTATCATTAACCAAAAATATAGTTTTTACATTACCGTGCATCGTGTGAATGTTCACGGAGTGAATGTAATAGGAAAAATATTATAATACTGTAGTGTTGTATAAAGTAACTACTGCTGTACTAACTACCTTAAACCAATTGTTATTTAAAGTACCATGTGATCGGCCTGTATCCTACTACCGACTCAATAGTAAAACGACGATGTAAGACGCCGTAAGAAATGACATTTGGCACCCATAGACTTGCAAGTCCCACTGTAGCGAGCAACAAGGTGTAGGATAGTCAATCCAGTATAGATCTATACACAAACTCATACGCTCCCCAATTAAGGAGATTCTGGATACAAAAACGGTCATGGCAGGATAGTCCAAGAACACTTAGTGTGTGTTCTTGGTGTTTTTGGAAATCTAATCAAAACACAAAAATGGATGGATGAAAAGGTGTACAATCACTAGATCAAGTGTTATATCAACTTGAAATGGCTAGAACACTTACAAGTTTGAAGATCTTGAATTAAATCTTGGATGATACTTAAGAGTGTTTTTGAGTTTACTCTTTTTGGTGATTGGGGAGTAAACATAAAATGACTAGTTTGAGGAGTAAACTCATGATTAAAGCATGAGTTCATGGTTTTTGGAAGATTTTTTGGCCCAAACATAAAAGTTTGGTCGTGAACTTCTAAGACACGAGGTGTTTGCGGTTTAGCAATTTCAAGACCCGAGACGATACTTCCTTTCACCCGTTGGTTTAAAGAATAATATTAAAATAATCAAACGAACTTTAAATTTGCTAAAAATAAGTAATAAAGTAATTAACTTATAATTTGAAGTGATTGACGTTTAGGGTTTGATCGATTGAGAATTTTGGGTTGTCACATCATCCCGCTGTTAAAGGGAATTTCGTCCCGAAATTAAACTCTAAGCAATTAAAGTGTTTACAGATAACTAAGCGAATAGATGAGGATATTTCAATTTCATTTGATCCTCACGCTCTCACGTGAATTCCGGTCCTCGCTTGGCGTTCTAGCGAACCTTCACAATCGGGATGTGGCTTTGCTTCGTCTGCTTGACCTCACGGTCCATGATCTCTACCGGTTCTTCCATGAAGTTGAGGCTCTCGTTGATCTTGATCTCGTCGAGTGGGATTACAAGAGTCTCGTCGGACAGAAACTTTTTCAAGTTAGAGATGTGGAATGTAGAATGTATGTTACTGAGTTCGCGCGGTAAGTTAAGTTTGTAAGCTACAGGACTGATTCTTGCGAGAATCTCAAAAGTCCCAATGTACCTTGGATTTAGCTTTCCACGCTTTCCGAAGCGTATCGAGCCCTTCCACGGTGAGACCTTCAATAGAACACGGTCACCCACCTGGAATTCCAACGGTTTCCTACGTTTATCAGCGTAGCTTTTCTGTCGATCTCTGGAGGCTTTCAGTCGTTCGCGAATCTAAACGATCTTCTCCGTTGTTTCCCGTATGATTTCCGGACCTGTGAAAGTGCTTTCAGGAACTCGTCCTTTAGCTAACTGGGTATCACCTACCTCAGCCCAGCACAGAGGGGATCTGCACTTTCGGCCATAGAGGGCCTCGAATGGAGCAGCCTTAATGCTCATGTGATAACTGTTGTTGTAGGAAAATTCGACAAGGGGTAAATAAGTATCCCATGCTTTCCTAAAGTCGATCACACAGGCTCGCAACATATCTTCCAAGGTTTGTATCGTTCTCTCACTTTCCCCGTCTGTCTGAGGATGGTAGGCTGTACTCATGTCCAGCCTAGTTCCTAAGGAACTTTGTAACGACTGCCAGAACCTCGAAGTGAATCTATTATCTCTGTCCGAGATAATGGATAAGGGAACACCGTGGAGTCGTACTATCTCCCTAATGTAAGTTCTTGTAAGCTTCTCCATCTTGTCTGTTTCTTTGATCGGCAGGAAGTGTGCAAACTTGGTCAATCTGTCGACGATGACCCATATGGTATCAAGTCCACCCGTTGTCTTGGGAAACTTGGTTATGAAATCCATAGTTATCCGCTCCCACTTCCATTCTGGTATTTCCGGCTGTTGTAGTAGACTGTAGGGTTTCTGGTATTCGACCTTGACCTTGGCGCAAGTAAGGCATTTACTCATGAAGGTAGCAATTTATGCTTTCATGTTAGGCCACCAGTATAACTTTTTAAGATCCAGATACATCTTATCTGAACCCGGGTGCACGGAATAACGAGTGTTGTGCGCCTCGTTCATGACCAAGTCTCTAAAACCACCTAGTTTCGGGGTCCAGATCTGGTCCATGAAATAATAAGATCCGCCACCCTTAACCTCCAAGTTCTTATCCATCCCTCTCAGCGATTCACCCGCCACGTTTTCAGGCTTCAAAGCATCGAGCTGAGCAGCGTTAATTTGTGTGGACAAGTTTGAATGGATAGTCATAGTCAATGATTTGACTTTACGACCAGAATATTCTTTCCGACTTAGGGTGTTAGCTACTACATTGGCTTTACCCGGATGATAACGAATTTCGCATTCGTAGTCACTGAGTAGCTCAACCCATTGTTGTTGTCTCATGTTGAGCTCCTTCTGGTTGAAAATGTGTTGCGGGCTTTTATGGTCTGTAAAGATCGTGCTCTTCGTACCGTACAAGTAATGTCTCCAGATCTTCAGAGCAAACACAACTGCTCCAAGTTCAAGATCGTGGGTTGTGTAATTTACCTCATGTATCTTCAGCTGTCTCGAGGCATAGGCGATGACCTTACCTCGCTGCATCAGAACACATCCGAGCCCTTGATTTGTTGCATCGCAATAGACTACGAAGTCTTCTATGCATTCAGGGAGGGATAGTACTGGTGCGGTGCACAAGGCTCGTTTGAGCGTTTGGAACGCTCTATCCTGCTTTTCTTCCCAGTCAAAGGCCACACCCTTCTGGGTCAGTGTTGTAAGAGGTTTCGCTATGCGGGAGAAGTTCTGAATGAACCTGTGGTAGTAGCCAGCGAGGCCTAGAAATTGACGAATTTCTGTAGGCGTCTTCGGTGATGACCAGTTCTCAATGGATTTGATTTTGGAAGGGTCCACGTGTATTCCCTCCTCGCTAACCATGTGCCCTAAAAATTCGACTTGTCGAATCCAAAATTCGCATTTCGAGAACTTCGCGTAGAGCTTCTCCGAACGTAATGTTTCGAGGATTTGTTGCAGATGTTGACCATGCTCCTCCTTACTATGAGAGTAGATAACTATGTCATTGATGAAGACGATGACGAACTGATCCAAGTAAAGATGACACACCCGATTCATTAAGTCCATGAAT